AGAGCTGATATGATTATGGATTGTGGGTTTCTGGGAGTCCTCAGAGACAGCCCACCGCTCCAAGATTAAGATTTAAGGCCCCAGACCCAGCCATGATACAGGGACTCTCAATCTTGCACGGTTGGTAGGGGAAGTATAGTCTCCCCAAATCCACTTATCAGAAATTGGGTGCCCAGAACAACAATTTTTCTTCCCCCAGAGACTGATGGCTCTTGGCAGGGAGTTGTCCTGGACCCATTATAATTGTGACATCATCACATCACATCACATCATCCCTCCTTGCTCTGTTGTCCTGTCTCAGGGGAGTGGGTAGGACCAGAGCACAGATGAGAACTCCCTGACTTTGGGAAGCCATGCTGAGGGCTTCCTTCCTACACTTTGTCTCCAACTTTCGGATCTTCATCCATATGACCTCTGAGGCAACTGGTCCTAACAGTGGGGTAAGCTCCGACATTTAGGTTTGAACAGAACACAGACCACAGTTGCGAATGTTGTTCTGAAAGAAGCTATAACAAGGCAAGCACGGTTTCCCATCTGTGTGAGAGTGAACATACAAGCGGAGCAAAGGGAAGATTTTATTAATGAACAAATATGGGGGAACAAAGGCCCTGCTCTAATGAAAATACCCCATCTTCGTGAATTAAACAAGAAGAACATGGCAATGGAATTATTTCCACTCAAAACCTAGGAGCTCCCACACCAGCCAGCATAACCCTTTGCTCTGTGATCTTGGCAGGCCCTCAACAGTTTAAGAGGACTCAGAAAGCCTTGCTCTTACCACATGCAATTTCGTTCCTTCTAACACCCCCAGACCAGTCGGGAATGACCCTGGATCTATTTTTAGCAGAGGTGTCAGAAGGATCAGAAGCAGCTTAAACGCCCTCCTCTCCAAGGCACACCACTGGCCCTTTTCATCTCAGTCCCCGGAGGATATCCAGACAGCCCCCAAATCCCCTGCTCTGGGGGCAAAAACGCCAGGGCTGCTCCTCACCGGTGCCCCACAGGCTGCAGCAGGGCTTTGTCCCCCAGGGGTAGAGCATGAGAGTAAGCCACGTCCGTGTCGAAGGTGAGAGGGAGGGCAGAGAATGATGTTTGCGTGAGAGGGATTGTGTTTCTGAGGCTCCTCTCAGATATTTGACAGAATTTTCTTTGTTTTCTCTTTCAGTCTGGAATTTCACCCATTAGGAGAGCGATTCCTTTGTGGCTGTATTGTTTATGGCACTTGGAAACGTTTTTGTGGTTAAATGACTTTAAAGTATTTAAATTATGCATCTCTTCTCTTCAGATATAACCCAAGGCAGTGAAATGAACAGCAGTAATTTTAATAGCAGTCACTTTACACATCCCACGATGAAGGCATGGTTTAAGGTTCATTGCCCACACCTAACTTTAGGTCCAGTAGAACTGAAAGGCACAGGGTTAACGGGCATGTGATCAAGCGCTGAGAGAGGCCTATGCCAGTTACTGTGGGAGTCCGAAGGAGGGAGACATTACTTCTCCTTCAGAGGGTGCTCAACCAGGAAGGGGCAGGGAGAGGGTCTGTGGGAACCTGAGGAAGACCAAATATTAGGAGCAAGCCTAACTCGGGGTGGAGCGTGGGATGCAGGAGCAAATCCTTGGAAATGGAAATGGTTCATCTGGGCTGTCACCGAAGACGGTGGAAAGGAAAGTGGTATAACCCAGCCCATAGTGCCCGGGCAGATCCTACTTCTTGACGCTAGTATGTTGCACCACTGTGTCCTCATCTCCCACCAGCCCTCTGACTCTTCCAGAATCACCTCCTCCCTCCCTGCGGCTCAGATCACCAGGTGCCTGTTGTACACGTTATTCATTATTCATTTCCTGTAGATCACTCTCTGCCGACCTTGAGTCCATGATCCCTATTTTCCTATTAGATACTGCTCCCTCCATGAGCATGCATTGCCTTATAAGGCATCCTGTTTTTTATATTTCAATTTTACTTTTTATTAATGCACATTTAACCCCATACTGAAGATGATCTCAATATCTTCCCAGTCTTTTGCCAATCTATATTTTTGGGGTACCATTGATTGTCATTTTGAAGGGCATTTTTGTTTATCTTTAGTAATGAAGATAAAATAACCTCTTTACTCTTCAATTTCTGTGTTTTCTTCCTACTTTAGACTGAACATCATTTCCTTCCATTCCTCCCATTCTATTCCTCTCACTTTAGAAGATAGATTTAAGGGAGAAAAATCTCAGTTTGACTGAAGCTGCCAGGTATGTGATAGGAGTTAGGATGAGGGTGGAGTACTAAGCACAGTATCTCAAAGAAACAGGATGACAGCTAGTGTTGGGATTATAATTTAAGGAAGTTGATCACAAAACTTTCAGGATAGGATTTCTAGAATGTTCTCCCAGCTGACATACTGACCTTCCCAGCAGCCCATGGACACTGCATAAGCAACAATGGTGGAACTCCACTTATTGGCCACAAGATGGCACTGTGGTCCCCTGGGATCTAAGGGGCTCTGGGGAGAGTCTGGGACAGCCGCCTAGGAGGGAAACGGTTAATAAAAATGTGGGCTTGGATCCAACATTATGCAAAAGTTGAAGTTTTCAGTTATTGCTAGGCTTCCTGCAGCCATGCAAGTGGTGGGAGGTCCCTCTCAATTTTAAAGAGAGCCATAGTTGAAGAATTTGGTGCAGAGGAGCAGCTGCCTCAGGGCAGTGTGGGAACCAAAGCCCAGTGCATCCCTGCTGCCCCCATCCTCCCTCAGGGGAGGATGGGAGCAATGGGATCTCAGGTTGAAGGTCCTCCTGAAGCATGAAACTTAGTGTGACCTGAAGTCCATTATTATGGTACGTAAATGCAAACACTGTTATTTTGCTCAGTTTGGAATATTCTGGTGATTGTGAAAAGCAGAGGAGTGGTAGCTTTCAACAGGAGATGTGCATTTTGTTTTCTTTTCGAGGGAGAAGAAAAGAGCAGAAAGCAGCTGAGCGGCTTTCATAAGCTTGAGTGATCTGAGATTCTACAAGTCTACAAGTCAACACATAATGTCACCTTGGCTTCGAGTCCATTGGATATGAAGCATGTGTTTTCTGGAGGACAAAAATGCCTTGATAACAAATAATAAAACACAAGTAAACAAACTACATAGGGGGAATGTTAGTAGATGCACCAAACAGTGCCATTAGACCTGTGGATAATCAGTGAGTAGAATTATTGAGAACTATGAACTAAGTCTCTATCAAGTACCTGTCAACATAGATCGGTATTTTGAGTCTTTGGAAGGTAGATTAAGGAAGGAAACTAAATTTTATCAGAACTTTGGCTTAAAATCCATGAGCTACTCATTTTTTTCTTGGGCAATATTACAGAATAATACTGAGCAAATATTTCATTTTTCTCTAGCCCATCTCTACCTTTAGCTCCTACAGTAGAAACCCACTCCAGGAGCAAAGTTTCTTAACTTGGGATTTGTTGACCACAAGACTGGGAGATCCATAGCTGGGCTTCACTGGAAGTACAAACTCTGTGTGTGTAAGCTGTGCCCAAGTGCACTCTATTGTCAAGGGAAGTGCCAGCCTACCCTGGACCCCACTCACAAAGAGGAGAGCAGGCTGCCTGCCTGGCAAAAAATCAATTCACCAATTGGCCAATCTGCTGAAAGCCAAAATGAAGGACTTAATTGTGAGACTGATGGGTGCCCAATTTCCCCAATTATGAAATTTACAGCAGTTCATGGATCTTAGAATCGTTTCAACCACATGCACGGATTTTGTCCCAAGTTTTTCTTTGTCCACAGCTTTCTTTAAGACATCGATCTTTAGTTGTTTCTCAGTACACTTGTCAGTCCACCTTATTTTGATGCTAAATTTGGATGTTGTACCATTTCAGTCACTGAGCACCTCTCACCTCTCCATATTTTATGTAAATGTGTGAGTGCTCCTGTCTTTTCTTGCTTTTGTGTAATTCATTTCTGAATTAAACTATACAGAATACAAACATATATTTATATATAACTCCTATCTTGTATGCAATTCATTTATTATTTAATTTTAGGAATATTTTTTATTAAGATGTAATTAATGGAGAGTAAAATTTACACAAGGCTAATTTGGTACATTTTGACAAACGCATACACCTATGCGATCTTAACTGCAATTATGATAAAAAACATTCCCATCACTCAAGAAAGTATCATCATGCTCCTTTCCAATCAATTTCTCTCCCAGAGGTAAGTAATTTTCTGATTTCTATCACCTTTGATTAGTTTTGTATATTCTTGAACTTCATATAAATGAAATTGTATAGTACATTTTTATTGACTTATTTTCCTATAAAATAAACATGTTTGAAGCATATTCATGTTTTCGTATCAGCAGTTTGTTCTTTCTTGTGTCTGAGTACCATTCCATTGTACCAGTGTGCCACAACTTGTAGGTCCATTTTCTTATTGATGGATATCTGGGTTACCCTGCCTTCAACATTATGAATAAAGTTGCTCTGAACATTCTTTTATAATTCTTTATAAAATGCATTTACTTTTCTCAGGTATAGATCTAAGAGTGGAATCGTAATTCATAGGGTAGGTGGATGTGCTATGGTTTAAATGTCCCACCAATGTTCATGTCGAAGTTGAATTGCCGGTGTGAGAGTCCTGGGAAGTAAGGCCTTTAAGAAGTGGGGCAGAGCCCTCGTGAATAGACTAAGCCCTTGTTGTGAGAGTGCCTTGGTTGCCTGGGAGTGGGCTCCTGATGAAACATGACTTCGGACCCATTTTTATATGTCTCCTGGCTCACTTGCTTTTCCTTCTGCCGTGGGATGATGCAGCTGCAGGCCCCACCACACGTGACCCCTCATTCTTGGATTTCCCTGCCTGTAGAACCTGAGCCAAAGAAATCTCTTTTCTTTATAAATTACTCAGTCTATGGAACTCTGCTATAGCAGCAGAAAACAAACTAAGACAAAAATATTAGTACCCAAGGGTGGGGTTCTTGCTAAAACAAACTCCCGAAATATGGAGGCAACTTTGGAACTGGGTGATGGGTAGAGGCTGGAAGACTCTCGAGGGGCAGGTAAGAAAAAGCCTGTATTGCTGTGACCGGAGCACTA